GTGATTCTGTGATTCTGTGATTCTGTGACTTCTATACTGAACTTGTCATTAATAAATCAAACCTGGCAATTTGAAATTTGGCACTTGCAGAAAGCATTTGTAATCATATGGAAAAATCCATTAGGACAGCCTGGAGAAGAGGAGGCAAGGGGAGACCTTATCACTTTCTACAACTACCTGAAAGGCAGCTGTAGTGAGAGGGGTGTCGGCCTCTTCTCCCTAGTGAATAGCGATAGGACAAGAGGGAATAGGTTCAAGTTGTGCCAGGGAAAGTTTAGACTGGATATTAGGAAAAACTTCTTCACCAAAAGGGTGGTGAAGCATTGGAATGGGTTGCCGAGGGAGGTGGTAGAGTCACCATCCCTGGATATGTTTAAAAAACAGTTGGATGTTGCACTTCAGGAGATGGTTTAGTGTCAGGGTGCTGTAGGGCTGTAGGTTGGACTTGATGATCTTAAAGGTCCTTTCTAACCTTTATGATTCTGTGATTAAGCACAATGGCATGGATCTAGGTCGTAATATACAAGATCAGATTTGGTAAGACAAAAGATGGTATGCAATATTAATTCTCTTTCACCTAGTTTGGCACACACACACACACATAAAAGAAGGATATCTACCCTCCTCCCCAACACACAGTTTCATAAAATAGGAACATCTTATTGAATACACTTCTCACAGTTTAATCCTACAATTAACATTGATAGTTGCTTGTTTATCACTGCTGGTTATAAACTGATGATTAAATTTCATTGAAGCTAACATAACACATTTATGTCAGCCAAGGCACGTGTTCTTCAGTGAACATAAACAAACAGTTCAAGCATACAGTGCCAAAATCAAGCATGGAAATGTTGGACTCTGGGAGACTTGACTTGTTTGACTGTTTTTTTGTGAACTAATCAAATCTGGGGGCTATAGGAAAAATGACACAATACAAAGGTAAACTCAGAGATTACAATTTCTTGTTCACATGACAGATCAGAATAATTCAAACATATTGTTCTGCTTTCCTATTCTATTTATGAGGTCTGTTGTTGTCTTTCAACTTCTTGTGGATATCTCCACAGTATACTGCATTTTGTCAATTACCAAACTTCACCTAAGCAACAGCTTCTGCCTCTGTTGCACCATGCCAGATAGTCATTTATAAAATAAATTTTAAAAAGTAGAGTAGAAGTGATGATTATATTTCAGGGTCTTTCTACAACAAAAAAGCTATCTCTATTGCAGTGACTGTAGACTAGATAATTAATGTGCGAGGAATAATATGGGGACTTTAGTTTTAATCAGTTCTTTACAAGACTGGTGGTACCCTCTTGGCTCTTAGAAAGTGGTGAAGGCTGCTCTGATGTGTAGAATATTCCAAACTCCTCTGAAACCTAAAGGAAAACAAGGATGATGTCCAGGGGTTTGAAATGCACAAATGCAGAGATGAACGCTGTGCAAGATCTGAATATTTCTACTGTCTGCTACTAATAAATTTAGATAGGATTTTCTTTGCAAACATAATCAACGATTGATATTTTTTCAGTTTCATCAACCTAACGATGCAAAAGTCACAGAGGACTAACTACAGATTCTCAGCTATTGACTATCTCTTTTTGAAACTCTGGCATTTGTCATAGCCAGCAGGGTGTTGCAAATACTGAAAGGGTAAAAATTTTCACCACACTCCAGAGCTGAGTATTTCATTGTGTGGAAATTGGCCCTGTGCAGCAAAACCAGGATGTTTCGTAAAGCATTTAGATATCAAGTCTCACTTTGAGTTTTGCAAGGCTCTATCAGCCACTGATATTTTCTCCTGGATCAAGATCTGAGCTTTAACTGTCAGGCAAAATCAAGACGAAATTTTTGCTGTGTGTAATCACCATATATTGTTCCTCTTCTGCTTACAATATTCCTTTAAAAAATAAATGATACTGAGTCTGCTTCTTTCGTTTGCTTGTTTTATATCATTTTAGCTCATGGCTGTATGAATGACTTCCTCATTAGGCTGGAAAAGATGTACATCTATCTTTTCTCTGTGTCACAACCGACAGATAACTTTGCAGACATGCATGAATAGCCTTCAGGGAGAGCAACTCTTCTGTCTTCTTGATTATTTTTTTTTATATGAATTCTTTTTCCTCCTCTTCCTTTTATAGTAGGCTCTGTGTGAGCTCCTGGTCTATTCTTCATGATTCACTGGAGACTGTACTGATGAGTAGATCTTGAGTTTAAGAATCACGGATGATCCTTTAAAGACAAAGACTAAGAGCAGAATTCTCCCCAGTGAATGCTTTTTCTGCACATTCAGATCAGAGACCTCCCTGAATGGCTTCCAGCACAATAGAATATTTTTCCCAGGAGTGCATGAGGCTTTCATGTGCCCAGAAGGACCTTTCTGAAGTATGTGATTAATGCACCATCCCCACACAAGGAATCAGATATCCTGTTTCTGACACAGAGACTCAAGCAATATTAATCTGTGCAAAAGGCTTCTCATTTGCTGAAGAAGCTGTATTGCTACAGCTGTATTTTTTTTTCCTGTCGGGAATTTACGTCACTGTTTACTCTAATTAGAAAAGGATAGTCTTAGTCTCAGCGGGCCATATCACTTACAGCCATCAACATATCCTGCAGTATTTTTGCCCTCCTCTTTTTCAAGATATAGTTTGATTTGTAATCATGTTTCTGTCCTTTTAGAGGGGAAAACAAAACAAACAACCCAGATTACACTGTTCAGCTCAGTTTTGTTGTATTTTTGCTTCTGTTTCAAGATCTACTCTGATGGCGTCTTTTGGTGTATGAAAAAGGAAAGGCAGACCGAAAAATGGTGCTTCCAAAACAGAAGAATTTGTTCAAAACATAGGAGAAGGAAAATGTGGTAGTACTGAAACATTTTAGCTGTCTGAAAAGATGGACAGGGAGAATTGCTCCTGAGTGCAGGAGTACTGTCTTGGAGAAGGGTCCATCTTTCCTGGTTGTGATTTTGTAGTTTTCTCCCCTGCAACAGCATCGTGCCACTGATGCAGACCAGTCCAAGCAACATCAATGTATTATGTCCTAGGACAAATAATCAGCAAGGTGAAGCTGCTTTTAGTAGTGGTGGTGTTGTTTTTCCCTTGCCAGCTAGCTGTTCATGCAAGGGCTTAAAAGTAAGAACAAGGGATGCTCTGCAGAGATTTCTACATCCTTGTAACTATATTTAATCAGCAAAACTATCAAAGAGGAAGGATTTCTTTCCTGGGTGAAGTGCAGGTAGTGCTGCTTTAGCAGCATAAAGGTCTTTTTTCTTACTGCACTCTTTGCACTACAAAGTCTTGTTTACACAGGAAATTCATTCAGCACACACAGTACTAGAAGTGTAGTGAAGCTCAGGTAGCTTAAAAGTTGGCTGTATTTGTAGACTCTAAAGGGTGTTTTCTGAACATGCGCTTAGCTCCAGCCAAGAGTCCTTGCCTATAGCTGAAAGGAGCATTTTTGCAGTGAATCTAAAGTTAGCAGAAGGATGGCCTTATAATAATGGCAGTGCCACAAATTAAAAAAAATACTCAGTGCAGAAAGAAAAAAAATGTACTGAATTAGAATTTTTATAGCTTTGCATTTCGCACAGCACAGCCCTGAATACATGGTCAGTAGCACTAACAGTACATTTGCCATACATTGATTATTTCAGAACATGGTCTCAGCAGAGTCAGAAAAGCCACTCTTTATGCTCAGAAGTTTGATTTACTATGTTTTGCAGCCAAGATTTTGCCACCCAACTATGCTCTGTTTTGTGCATTTCATTCTCTGTGTTGCGAAGTATCTCTGGTATTTCATGTAACTGCAAGATGTCTCAAAGCTGCAGGATGCATGTGGTGAAATGCTTCTTCATGGTGTTTATATCAGATTCACTCTTTGATGTTGCATCTTTTTCAGATCCGCTATGCCGGTGCTGCCGACAGCTCAGTTCAGTTTATCTTCTATCAGCCTATTATTCATCGATGGAGGGAAACCGATTTTTTTCCCTGTTCAGCATCCTGTGGAGGAGGTAACAAAGTACCACTGTATTCCAGAAAGTCATCTGCATTTGGTGTTTGTACCAACCTGAGATTTGCTGCGCTGAGTTTTATGCATTTAAAATGGATAAAATATGAAAATGAAAGCAGTTACATCTAAATTAGAGGAGTGATGTAGCGACAGTGGTAGTAACCTTCAGATTTTTTAGGATCATACCAGGCTCTGTACATAAAGTACATTTTGATACGACTGCGTTTAATGCTACAGTTGTCAAACATAAGGGCTGATGGGATCTGGGACTGCCTTGGAATCACAAGATATCCCCATTTGCCCCTGTCCCCACCAGCAGCTCTACCCTTTGAACTGAGTACATGGGTCTTAGTGACAAAGAAGCATTGCTCTCTCTTTGTTCTTTTTGCTCTAGGCTTCTGAATCTTACTTTGACCATATTGGTTATCTTGTTTCCTGCTACATGTGATTTAAGTTGTTGTTTTCAGTTGGGTCTGTAAAACAACAGTTCTTATGTCCAAAAGCACTGATTTTTTCAGCTTGCTTTATACTAAGCCAGAACTTAGATGCACTTAGATGAATTTAGAGACAGTAAGAACACCACATCACAGATTATTTCTTCCACTGTGTATTGCAGGTTATCAACTGACATCTGCTGAGTGTTTTGATCTGAGAAGCAACCGAGTAGTAGCAGATCAATACTGTCACTATTATCCTGAAAATATCAAGCCAAAGCCAAAACTTCAAGAGTGTAATCTGGATCCTTGTCCTGCGAGGTCAGTCAGCTCCCGTTCTAAAAGTGGCTGGGCTCTAGAGGAGTAAAATAAAATAGCAAAATATTCAGTTGCTATTGCTTACAATGTTATTTAGCCTACATAATTCGATCTCTTTCTCATTCGAAGGATGTACTGTATAGAAAAAGATCTCTGTTTAGCACCTCTGCATTGCAAGGACTAATTTGAAATGGTTGTTTCTTCCCCTCAGATTGTGTTTTGCCTCATTAGACATCATAAAATGTGAGAACACAAATTGTCAATGATAACATCCCACGATCAACAACTTTATTGTTAGTAAGATGGCAAAAATTCCCTTGGGATAAAAATGTTTTAGAAAAATGATTGTCATCACAATTAGAGGCATTCTTTTTATGGGTTTTTTACATTTTCTTCTATATAGAAAACTTACTTGCAGTCATGGTAACTTGTAAGAATGTAGTGTGGGAATTTGTTCCAATTATCAATACCCTCTGGATGTGCACAAAAGAATCATATCTGCTTCCATGCCAAGTATTCTTCCTCAGAAGATTGATTCTAAATATAGTAAGATCGCAGCATCAGATTTCCTGTGCATAAGAAAAGGAACAAAACCACAAAAAGACCAGTCCTTTTTTGCACTGATTCCTCCAACCTTCAGTGGAAGTCAGACTGCAGCCACTCATGGATTTGTATAATCTAAACCATTTGGTCCTCTTGTATGGCTTTGCTAAAAGATGTTTAAATGCATCCCAGCAGGCATGTGTGCAAGGATATCCTAAAGCCATTTATTTACAAAAAAATAGTTCTGTGCCAAGTTTGATAAAAGGAGTTCAAGCAAGTGCCACCTAAAAAGTTGCTATGGCCCTTCAGGTTGCTGGAGTCTGCCATAGAAACAGATGCCCTAGCCAGGAGAAGGATCCTTTAGAGATGTATTGGACTGTGATTCCACCTAACTGAGGATGATTGCTTCCCAAACCAGGTATACCAACTTTAAATGAGCTAGGTGTTATCAGAACAGAACAAATCATTCCAAGCCCAAGATTCTTCTAGAAAGTTTTCATTAATATCATTGACTTTTCATAACTAGAATCAACACTCAGGTTTTTTTATCACTGAAGACACATTTATATGGAGACTGTAGCAGTTTATATTCCTTTGTTCTAATAAGCAGATTTTTAATGGTAATTCTAACTGCAATTAATTAAAAGCCAGAAGTGTTCTCATACAGTTTTAAATGTGAAGTGTAAATCTCCCAGAATTAAACAGTGGAAATACCCAATCTCAAAATACAATATTGTCTCAGCTGTGTTCTACATCCTTTAAGTAACATACTTTATCGTGTATTTCATTAGAATGTATTAAAGATACAATATTAAGAATGCAGCTTCACTAGGGCTATGTGAAAAGTACTAAGAAGCGATTTTTCAATTTAGAGGTTCTTTTCCAACAACGAAACAAAACAATTTTTTCCTTTAACAATATTCCATCAAGCATGTTTCTCCTGTCCTAGTGTTCTCAAAAAAAAACAACTTAATTTCTCTAAATACTTGAATATATTAACAATGCTTTTTTTTTTTTTTCCTTTTTCCCTTTTTCTTTTCTTAAAGCCTAAGCTCCTGTTTCTCTAAAAATATAGTTCTGAGTTAAATATGTAATTTGCCTCTGGAATTTGTACAATGGATATTTTCCATACCTTTCCGGTAATTTTAAATGACATATTCTTAAATGGTAAGACAGACAACTGCATGGTACATAGGAGGAAAGAGGGGGGAAAAATAACAACTGAGCAGATGTTAGGAAGAAATTTTTGTTTTATGTAAGATATAGCAAGGCAAAGCTGTTGATATAAAGGCCCTGAGGGGAGAGAGTCATTTAGAAATACAGCTATGCCATTCTCAGGGTACAGGCAGTAATAGAGAATAATTAACTTTTTGGAAACATCTTCACGGAATGCCAAATTTCAAATTATTATTTTCAAAAGCGCCTTTGTAAAAAATTCAAGAATCAACAACCCAGACAGAAAACCAGAGGAAATCTGTGGTAAATTCTGCAGTCCCGATGCTTTCTTATGGTCAGGAAGAGGGTAGGTGAAGCAGAACCATGGGATCAGGAGCATGAGTGAGGAGGATGTCTTGGTTCTGCAGTGTCTTTGCTGTGTGTGAGCTGCTCTGCTGGTATAAAAAGAAGAGGTCAATTTTTCCAGGCAAACCCAATTCCAGTGAGGCATAGCTGATTAGTGGTTGCTGAATCTTCCTATGGTGTGTCAATGAACACCACAGAAAATAATTGTGGAAGACCACAGTGGTGCTGGGTAAAGCAACCAGAAGGGGTTACTGTGTGAGGCCTCACGTTAAAATTTTCAGCAAAAGGCATGTGAAAGAGAAGTTTAAATGAATACCAGGAGTATCGTGTGGGCCTGCAATTAGATGCATCTTTAGGCTTAATGCATAGAAAAGTTTTACTTTAGTGTGCTTGTTATGGCAATAATTAACATTATTGCTGGCATCATGAGTAGCAAAAAAAGCTTAGCGTGAATAAACGTGGAAAACTAATCAACTCTTTCTACAAACACAGTTTCTCACATACTGAGAGAAACAGTGTGTGGAAGGTTATTTATCAAACATATAGAATTTACACATATTCCTTTTCTGGGTTAAGTAAAGGTGGCTCATCCACCTGAGTAAGACTGATAATTAGTGTCTTCTGGGACAGATGATGCATCATGACACCAAGTCTCATTTTATCCCAGATACTATCAAGGCCTTATCCAGCCTTTCTCATCAATCCTCTTTGGGACACAGCTCCTGCCTTAGAAAGATAGAAATAAAAGATCTGCTTGTTTACAGTCCATTAAGTTTTTACAACAGCCGGTACTTCACTGGCAAATACATGTATAATGACTACTGCTATAAACAGCATCAGTTCAGTCTATTTCACTCCCCTTCTACGTGGCAAAATCCAACTTTGGTATTTCGCGTATTTAATTAACTACTAATCTTAAACTATCCAAAACTGCACAGACTGGAGAGATTAGGGGAGGGGTTTTAGCTATTATCAGTATCTACCTGTCTGCCATCCTCTAAGGAAAGATGAATGGATTTTTTTTCTTCAGAAAGTCTGTTTAGATTTGACTTAAATGGGTGTGCTAAACACAGACTTAGGACAACTCTGAGGTACTATAAGCTGAAGATACCATTTATTTCATGATTCAAAGGCATTGCTCAAAAAAACATGTTTTACCAATACGGAAAAGGCTTTTTCCCACTTATCATTCACCTCTTCACCAGAGTACTCTCTGGAGCAACATCAGTGCTGCTTCTAGATTTCATCCTCAGCTTTTAAGTGACAATCACAGCTGCACTGTTCTGCTTTTTTTACCAATCATCTCCTCTGTGTTTTGCCTATCTCTGCTAACTGTTAATGTGGAATTTTCTGAGTCACAAAATCTGTCCTAGTGTTTTTACCAGGAGATTTCAATGGTGCATAAAGATTTCTTCAGCAAAGATTCTAACTTTGTGCAGCCACAGTCTCAAATATTTCATGTTAGCAAGCCTCTAACACTATTTTTATCACTTTGACAATAATGCCAGCTTGATTGATACAGGCAAAAAATCCTGGAATTTGCCTAGAGTATTGTCTGTAAGCCTGCCACCAGAAGTAATATTAGTACCTGTGGAAACTGAGGGAAAATCTCTAATTCAAGCAAGACTTAAAACACTCAGAGACCTGAAGGAATTCTCAGATATCCACAGTTTAGGGAGTCCTCCAGCAAAATTGCAAACTCCTTTTCCTTTCTTTTGGCATTCTCAATTAACCATAATGGGTGGTGGCAAATGGAGGCATTAGCAAAAAGAAACTCAAATTTAAATAAAATTTTACTTTTCAGTTGTTATTTTTAGCTGATTTAACAAGAGCAATTAAGTACGAATGAAAAAGCACGAAGGACATCTAGGATTTTGGTCATTCAGAGTTACCCTGAGTAGTAAGTCCCCAATATACTTCGTGATGTGTGTGTGCTGTTTCCTGGGCAACAATGCAAGACGTGCATGATAACTTTTACATATATATCCTTCAAAAGAAAAGAAGGTGGTTAATGAGTAAATATGCATGATTAAAAAGGCAACATAGAGTATCCTCTCAATCAGGAACAGAGGTCTCCTCACCTCATTACAAACTGGCTGCTTAAGTAGAAAATAGCCAAAAAAATACTTTTTTTTTTCCTTGTTACCAGCCTCTCTGAAGATTATAGATATATATTAGGTAGCAATTATAAGCCAAGTATCACAGCAGTGCAGTGTTCTCATTTTCACTACATTTTTTTCTAGAAGATGAACAGAACTGGAATGCTGTTATGTTCCTGAAAAGACAGGCTGCACTTTCTGGTTTACACAGTAGCAGCCATGGATCTGCAGTGACAAAAAGAGTCTGAGACATGACTCAATTATTGTTATTGCCCTTGACTGGGACATACAATAAATTTAAACTTTGTTTTGAATACTCATAAAATATCCCATAATTACCACAGAAAATGGACGTTTTATATAAACCTAAGCTTTTTGCATGGATATGGGACTATGGTCATGACAAAGCTCTTCTCTGATCTCTACCTCAGGCAAATGGTCATTTCTGTGGATTTGCATTTTTACTTTTAAGTTCTTCATTTGTTACAGGGGGATTGAGAAAGGCTTTCTGCCTTGCAGTGCTCTCTGAACCATTGTTGTCTCTGATTGCTGGGTCTGGTCTCAGTTTCCACAGCCAATAGTATGCATATGAACGATCCTAAAGGCAGTAAGAGATAACCATTCTAAGGGATGATGAGAAATTAAGTTTTCAGCAGTCAAAGCAGAAGAGAGAACAAACCTTTGCTGCCAGCATGGTTGAAGTTGCATGTGCTGGAAAAGTAAGACTAATATTAGCAAAAAGTATGCTGCCTGCAAATGAAAGCGCACAGTCAACAAAAATCAGTCATTGCAACTGTATACTTAAGGAGGCTGATTTTCAAACAGTTCAGAAGTTCCAGAGAACCAGGAAGGCCAGTGGAGAAACGAACTAAAGTGTTGTATTACACATGAAAAAGAAGGAGAGAGGAGAAGCTTAGGAGGCCAAAACCAATTCAGAGCAGCAGGAGAGGAACCACCAGGTAACTTTTCAGGATGGCTGAATTAGAAATTCAGATGGAGAAGGAAGTGGTCATAATCAGGGTCATCTGAGTTCAGGAGCAGAAAAAAGATGAGCTGTAAATCTTCCTAATGCCTAAAGAAGCATTTTTCTTCTCAAGACAAATAGACAATAACTTTAAGTTTAGGGCTGGGTAAAAGGCGTTTAAATTAAGCTAGAAAATTATTTTGTCAGAACAGGCAGGGAGGGTGGGCCAGGAAGCATTCATTGAAGTGTTAAAAGATGTGAATAGCAAAGCAAATTCAATTGTAAGGAGACAGTTCATATTAAAGAAAAACAGAAAGAAAGGCAGAAAGGAACTGTCAGGATGTGTCAGATAACAAACTGTAAGGTGGAAACATAGTTCTTGCACTGCTATGAACATCATATACAGATATCTGTCTGCCCAAGATGAAATTATGGGAAATGTAGTCTATTTAAGTCCTACAAGAGACCAAAACTGCAGGGAGTTGTAAGATGGTCACTTACAGAGATTTTCACTGGATATTCACTTGTTAATGTTTAGTAGTGTAAAATAACATCAAATTTTCATCATAACTGCCATAAAATATTAAACTTAATTAAAAAGAGAGAAGATTTTTAGAAACATTACAGTCATGCTACAGGAAGGAAGTACTTTTGTTTCATCCAATTGAAAACACCCACTTCAAGCCCAGTAAAGAGATTAGCTTTTATTAGACTATGGCAATGACAAGTAAACCATATGTTTCTTGGAATTTGCAATCTCTATGCCATGAACAAGTAATCTGTTAAAAAGGTGAGATACTGTTTTGCTGAACAGATATGGTGACCAAATTGTGAGGTTTTTCTGGGAGTTGACACAGAACGATAGCTTTCTTAACATCCTTTGTATTTTTAAGTAGGTTAAGTATACACTGACATTCAATTTAAAACTGTTTATGTAGGGAACACTGGCTTTTAGCAATCTGTAAAGTACTAACACTATATGAAGAAGGATATATCAATACAAAAAGGGTATATAAATACAAAATGCATAGAATCATAGAATCATTAAGGTTGGAAAAGACTTCTAATATCATCTAGTCCAATTGGCAACACAACACTACCATACCACTAAACTATGTCCTGAAGTGCTTCTATTCATTTAATGAATTAGCTGTGAAATACTTCAGACCTTGCTCAGGTGGCATAGTTTTTGCCATGAGGATTATTTACCCTCAAATCTGACAGATTTCAGCAAAGGCCTAAATCTTCACTCGATGAGACCACATCAGGAAAGAGGTGTGACAGCTCTGGCCACCTAGGAGTGCAGGCAGCTGTATGGCTGCAGCAGTGCAGGTAGGAAACTCCCAGGAAAAGACAGACCACAGCAGAGGTGAAGGCTGTGAGCTGGAGGCATGTGGATGTCCTGCAGAGGCTGAGCATCTCAGTACATCATCCCCATGCAGAGTTACATTTCCATGACGGATTTCAGTGCGAGACGTCCTTTCTCTCCACTGGCTCTTCTCCCAGCTCTAGCCTCCATGTCCCTGCATGGCTCAGCAAGTGGGCATGCAGGAGAGGGAGGAGAGAAGGGCTGGCACTCTGTCAAAGGAAGAGTCATCGGGAAGGACAAAGGCATTTGTGCCTGTCATTTATGCTGAAGGGATAGCTTAAGGGAGAAAACAAGCTACTGGGGAAGACACCAAACATGAATTTCAAGGAATGCAGCTGCAGGCACGCATCCTCAGGGAACGCTGAACATTTGCCAAGGTGGCAGACCTGGGTGCAGCACACCCACTTCTGGCAAGTGCAGCTCCTGTGCCAGCTGGATGCATGCCTTGGAAGAGCAACTGTACTGCAGCTGCCAGCACTCAGGAGGAAAACAAACCAGTCTGCAGAGTATATGACACAACTTGTTGGTCTGAAAAGCATGGAAGATTTCAGACATGTGAGACACAACAGCCCTTCAAAATAATTTGCTTTGTGCTCCTGCCAAAGCAAGTTTGCTCTAGGTGTTGTGTGAATGAGTCTTGTTAGCTATTCCCACATCAGCAAGTAATCTGTGTACTGGAGGAACTGTTATTATTATTTGCTCTGTTAATTTAGCACATCGTGCCATTTGAATTGTCTGAGTAATGTGCAGTGAACAAAGACCATAAACTAGATCTCTTTATAGGAGTATTATGGATTTATACATTCATGGAATTTAAACCACTTTGTCCATTCAACATTCAACAAAGTAATCTCTAAGATGTTTTTTTAATAGTTCATTTAAGTGTGGTTGGGTTTTTGTTGTGGAAAACACAAAAAAAAACCTACACAAGACTAAGAAAGTTGCAGTTGCCGCTAATGGTACAATAACTATTTGCTCTACTGTTGTATTTTCAAGCTGATTTTTAAAGTTGTAAATTAAGCCATTGAGTATTATCGTGGGGGTCTTTCTCCCCACTGTGACCATGGGACTTACATTGCTTGGGATCATTATCTTACTGTAAGAGAATGAGAGTCTTTGTCAGCCTCTCACATATGCACAAGGCCAGTGTCAGTAATTCTGTGGAGGTCTATGCCATTTAGAGAAATGCAATTTATGTACGCAAAATTCTTTGAAGGTCAAACCTTTCCAATGACAATATTAATCTAGTGCTTTATAAATGTTATTTAATCTTCGTAACAGTGTTTGCATGTGGTATGGTTATTTCCATTGGAATGGCCTTGGATATTATGCATTCTAATGCATATAGACCTGGATTACACATATAGATCATGTTTATTAGAAAGAAAACATTTCTCACTGCAATGAGTGAGAAATGTTTTGAAATATGTTTCTTTCTTGGGCAGTAGATGCTTTTATAGTATAATTATTTCAATTCTGAACTTGTTATATTACTCTGTTTTCCAACCGCTCTAGCTGATGAGCTGGAAAGTGCAAAAGATTTCAGAGTGGAACTTGAGCAGCAGTGATGGAAGAGTCACGAAAACAGCAGAGAATCCCAAATATACAAGCAAAAAAACCCATAGAAAATGTCCCCTCCTATCTCCTTAAAATTACAGTACACAATTTCTCAAACTTCTCCAGGCATTTACCCGTCAAGATAAATCTGAAAAGACTTGTTCATTGGCCATACTCTGAATGACCCATTCATATTTTCCAAAGTTTCCCAGTGCCAGAACTGCTTCTCCTAGATTTTTAGATTTTCGTGAAAGCAGGCAGCTCTCTGAAGATGCAAATATGCACACTCATGCAGAGGGCTGCTGTCACTGCAGAGGCTGCTAATCTTAGAGGGATCTGTATAGTCCCCATCACATACTCCCAGGGCTCCAGCACCTTCCTGTGCTTTAGCTGGAAAATCCCAGCACGCTGACCTGACACTGACTCCTCATTGTGAAAACATAAGATCCATTCTCCTATCCTGGACAAGTTATGCACATAAAATCCCTGTTGATTGAAAGGAGAATAGACCCCTTTAGCATGACAAGACTCCTCTGAGTGACCGTGCTGAGGATAGAGAATACTTTCTCCTTTCTCCTTCCTTTGCTCCTTCCCCCTTTCAGAAACCCATAGCAGCATACCTAGCACCTCTCATCTATATAAGGTTCTCACTATTTTCAGACAATTTACTCTCTCTGTAACTTGGGTAGGGGCACACTTTTTATTTTAAAGTAATTGGCATTCACTTTTTGATGCTTCTGCCCACCTGCCCCATCTAACTCTCCAGTTGCACAGTGGCTTTGGTGGAATAAATAGTGAGGTTCTCTGGGATCATCTATTTGGTGTTAATAGATATGCCTTATAATCAGGGGACAGAACAAGTAGAGTTACTCTGAGTCAGAATCTGTAAAAGGTGCAGACAAAATCCCAGATTTGCACTTCAGTAAGACCCCGTAGTTGCCAGCAAGTGAAGTGACATCCATCTCACACATAACTAGTGTGATAATAGTTCAGGTAATTACTAATTTTGATCTACCCTATTGCTTTTTATAACCTTTAGATGATGTATTATTTAAATATTATGACGATAACATTACAGCAAGCCAATCCAACCAATCACAACACCAAAATCAAATAAACAAAAAACCAATCACTCTTCTCTCCATCTCCGTCTTTTTTTCCAGAAAAAAAACAAGTAAAGAAACAGGTCCTGAAGATTAATGAAATTGGACTAATATGATGTGGAGAGACAAGATTTGCAGATTTGAATTCCTGAACTGAGATTCCCCCAATTTCTAATCCTGGCCCCTGTAAAAGCAGGCATTTTATCCGAAGGGCAGAAACAACCATATAATAGTTTAAAAGTGGATTTGATCTAGAGCTATCTGGAGCTGATAGACATTCCCCTATTTTCTTCAGTGACTTTGGATCCAAGCTCGAAGGAAGTATTAAGTGTAGACAAAAAATATTTAGTTTTCAATAGGAGAGAGTAATCTCATAAATTTAAATAATATTTGGACAACTCATTTAGATCACTTGTGGTAATGAATGGCTTCTTCACTAAACGGTAATATAGTCATAAGAATGAATTAGTAATTGGTTGTTTTTTTTCTTTGAACAATTTAGAAACTGCAGGACGGGAGCATAATTTTTATTTTAAATGTGATAGCAACTCTGATAAAATAACTTGTTTGTTTGGGGTGGGTTTTTTTGTAATATTGTGTATAAAAAGTTGTGTAATGTAATCATTTAGTGTTTATTTTATTATGTGTACCTTCTACTCAGAGGGTTGGCATTATTGTTCCTAACAGTGATGGATACAAGCAGATCATGCCCTATGACCTCTACCACCCCCTTCCTCGGTATGTAAACCAGTTAACCAGATGCTGGGATTAACAAATACATTTGCTTATTTTTTTTCTCTTCTCTGCATTTCTGCTTTGTTCTCAAACTAAACTAACAGGTGGTTCTTTCCTCTTGCTCTGAATTCCTGCAGGTAAATCTAGAGATGTTCAAGTGCTAACCTGTTGTTATAAATTCTGTTGATGCAGACCTGAAACAGTATTCTAGCTGAAGCAGCAATGCAGACTTATTAAGTCTGTGGTCCATTTCTTTCTCTCTTTCCTCATCCTCCACCTCCCTTTTTCTCTCACACCTTTCCTTTTTCTGCACTTTAGTCATCTCCGAATAGGACTATAACCTGTGGCTTGCAATGAACCATAAGGTTTTATCTCTCTGTCTAGCGGTGCTGCTTTTTTCATGCTTATAAATAGTGAGATTTTGTGTTTAGACGGTATTAGTGTTGTCTTGTAATCCTGCAAACCCATGGTAATACCTTCCCCTAAAGGAATTAATCCATTGGCTTTTCTAAGAAATCAGAGCTCAGGGGCAGGAACCGGATCAAGGCCTGATTTGCATTATGAATTATTTCACAATTAAAATATCTTTATTGTAATACATGAGATTCTCATGGAAATAATTGCATGAGTAATTAGTCTCAAAACAGTGAATAAGACTAGTGCTGATAAAAATGTTTAGCAGCTGAAGGATAATAACCTTTTGGTTTTGAAATACTGCCTGGACATGCAATAGTATTGTGCTGTGTTTCCTTTTTCATTAATTTATTGTGTCATGGAATATGAAATCACAGAACGAACCCCCTAGGCAACTTGTTAGTCTCATCCTGCTGAGGAAACAACCTCCCTCAAACCATGGTGAGGCCTAATGCAGAGAGCTTTCAGCATCAGTGTGCAAATGTTCAGCAGAGTCTCCAGCCAAATCATGGACCCACCCCAAATAGTGAGTGAGAAGGTGATGTGGAGAGCAGCTTACTTGCCAAACATTGTGGTTGCCCTTTGCACTGACATCCTCTATCAATGATCTCTCTCATTTGGATTAGGTTTCTCTCTTCCTAGCTAACTGCTTATGGTTATGTACATGCAGTCATTATCACCAAATATTCATGAGATACACTTATAAAATATATCCCTGCATCTAATTCCTTTTTTCTGGAAATCAGTTTTCTCTGTTCTTATTTTTTAAAACAAACACATACATACATTCTAACCTCAAAAATCAAATGTCTGTTTGTAAGAAATATATAAGCTAGAATATTGACATCTAGTTTCAAACTCTAACTTTGAATCAAACAGATTTTATTTTGATTGTGTACAAGGGGCATATGCAATGGCAAAAAGCAGAGAATAACTTTATATTAGAGGATGATTTGGCAGTACGTAACAGTGGAGGTACTTTATTTAATGAAAAAACATCCTGAGCTGGCAGCTAGGCAGAGACTATTTTACTGCTGAAGAAAATCCAAAAGAAAGGATCAAAATGCCTTGAGGTATTTGGCTTTCAGCAACATTAAAAGCAAAAAAAAAAAAAAAAAAATCATTCCCTGAAAATGATCAAAAGATTGAGACTGTTTCTCAAGCCTCTCTGGATTGTGGTCTCACAGTCTCTTTACATCCACTTTCCTAGCCATGGTATTCTTCTTTAACACTCAAACCCCCTCCATCAATGGCTCAGACTGCAACATCTGGTGGGGACCTCTGTGCCACCTTTTTCCTTATGCTGTTTCCCTGCTGCCTCCTCACTTCTCCCTTCCTTCACTCCCACATGTACTCCTATGAACCCAAAAACAGGGCTCAAGTCTCCCTGCTACACTTTGAGAGGGAAGACACAGCCATATGTCTCTTCTCCAAGCATCAGAGGCAGGTGGCATGAGATGGCCAAGTCAGGTGGATGAAAAAAGTCCTCTGAACCTGCGGAGTTTAGACCAAAAAAACTGAAAAAAAACCCAAACCAAAAACAAACCTCCAACCAGACTAGATAGCCCTGGTTGCATTACCTCTCTGAGACTGGCGCCTCATAGAAGGGACAGAGGAGAGCGACAAAGACTCCAGGAGAAGCAAAGAGCAAACCTGTGAAGGTATCTTTTCAAGATTTCTCTACTGCAATCCCTCAGCCTTGAATTTTATCACAAAGAGAGAAAGGTATGGTTCAATCAACATAATACACACTTTCAAAGCACCACCGATTCTTTTCTCTTTCTCAGTCAATGTTGCAGTCTTTATACCTCGAAAGGAGCCGTGGTACCTGCATTAACAGCTGTGCAACAGAGAAACTTTACCTTCCTGTCTTATACTCAAACAAAACCTGAGGACCTAACTGCTTGCCTGGATTTGAGCTGCTTGGTATTGCTGAGGTTGCCTGAGGAATCTGGAAACTTGTCCCAAAGACTCCAGCAAATTCCCTGGTGTCATCTCTTTTTATGCCTAGGAAAAGCTAGCTCAGGCTGCAGCAGTTTCTGGTGCTCATTTGTTTTGGTATAAGACCTCTTCATTCAGATTTGTGATAGTCGGAAATGTGTTCATCAGGGCCACAGGTAACACATTTCAACCAAAAACTTTCCTTACCTGTTTGGCACATGTGTCGCTTACACCGAGCATGTGATAGTGGTCATGGCATGGTGTAAACATGATTTCACCACTTTTGGGTCATGTCATAGAATTTATCAGTAGCTTTCCCATTCATAAACAGCTATCAATACAAGCCATTTCATATTGAACTTTATGGCATTTTCAGCCAGTAGCCAAGTGTGAGTCGTGCTTACGTTTACTGGAGCTGATGAGAAAAATCTTGGTTTATATAAAGAAAAATCACAGTGAAAGATGAATATTTTTCATATTGCTTAACAATCTTTATGATCTTGTAATTGTTACTTCATAAAATTAATTCCTTTAAGTGGAAGAAAAAAAATCTTTCCTTTCACTTTTTTAATTATTCCGCAAAACCAGTTTTATGTCCAAAAAATGAGATCTTATGAACAAAATAATTGTTTCAAACATTATTTATCAAAGGGATATTTACCTTTAGAAAAAAATAAAAAAGATTTTGTGAAATTCTGGGTAGGCAGAACATATACACTTTGGTACCATTGGGCATGCACATGATGTTACAGGAATAGACACACTGGATCATGACAATGGTCCCAGATCCTCTCTGTGACAATGGCTTGAAAGTAAGAGAGGAAATACTAGACAATTTTATGTGGAGAAACATGTACATGTATAAAACAATTCCTACATTGTCGTATATGCATCACCGTATAAAAGATTATTCTCATAAGTATACACAGAACATACACATTGTTCTGTCAATTTGTCATTGCATTCTCAAATGGCACCTGTGGAGAAAAGGTGATTTCTCGTTTCCTCTCACTGTCTCAGCTGTAAGGAAACAAGGCCCATGTGATTTATCCACCAGATGCCATATATCCTATCAGTATAGTCACATCTTCTTTCTGGTAATTTCCTTTCATCTTCTTTTTTTACATCAACTCAGTTTTTTCCTTGTATATTCTTGCAAAAGGAGCATCAGCTTCAGAGCACTCTGAGATTTGTGACAAATATTCCTCAGAACATTACAAGTTGTGAAAATATAATAATCCCAGCAACTAAATAAAAGGAATTAAGTTACAAGTATTTAGAGTTTCTGTGGTAGTTGTTACTGCATTAGTGGGGGAGATTTCATATTACTAGTCTGTAAATTTCACATTACTAGTCTGTGATTTATGTATGGCAGCCATGAGTGTGCTTTGCTGTTATGGCCATTTATGAAAAAATACTTATGATTAATTCTTACTGACATTAATCAGAAAAAAAACCCTCCTGCAGACAGCAGTTTATGCATTTGAGGGAGTGCGCGTGGGGGCAATAGGGATTGCTTTTCCTGATGCCTCTCTGTTTTGTTTTGTTTTCCCCAGATGGGAAAGTACACCCTGGACTGCCTGTTCCTCATCCTGTGGAGGGGGCATTCAAAGCCGCAGCGTCTCGTGTGTGGAAGAAGATATTCAGGGGCATATCAGCCCTGTGGAAGAATGGAAATGCATGTATACTCCAAAGATGCCTGTAGTCCAGCCTTGCAATATATTTGACTGCCCAAAGTGGCTTGCTCAGGAATGGTCTCCGGTAATCAGCTTAGCTTTGCTGGTTTCGTATTTACTGCACTAGGGACATGTCTTAAATTACAGTTTCGTGAGCTTGTGGAAGTAGGAATATTCACTACTTTCTTTCCTTATTACCATGATCTCTGATTTAAATTATGCTATTTTTCTAAAGTAAATACACAGGAATAATATATTAATAGGATTAACATGATTAAGGAATATGACGGAAAAATAATTCAGATGTGTAACATTGATTGGTGACATTCTACTGACAATAGATTGGGAACAGAAATGAAATGCCCAAAGCAAAACCAGTGAAGATGAAATGGAATGTCTTTATTACAACTTTTCAGCCATAAACTCAATATCATGAATTGCTGAGAAATTCACAGTAATGTGTGAAGCTGTAAATGGATCTAATCTTTAATGCCTGTAATGGTCTGCTCCTAATCCATTTTTCTTTTGTACGAAAGTAAATGTCTTTGAAACATCTTTCTACAAAAGCAGAAAAGTACTTTAATTTTGTATGTAAAGACTTAATCTTGAATATAGTTTCTCACCACACCAGTCTTACCACACCAGTGAAATGGGGTTTAGAAGCTAAGCTACCTCACCTACAGGTGAGGTGTTCTTGGCTGATTGCAACCTGTTTAGTAATTTCCAGAAGAAAGCTACTAAGGAAGACCAAAGTAATATTGGTAATATCCATAGTTGTCCCCACTGGATGGTGGTTATGATCCTCTCCAGCACAACCACTTGTGGAACAATTTGTACAGGGTGAAAAACTGATATACCTTAGCAAAAATAGATTTTAAAAGACTTAAGAAAGTGTCTGAGGGAAGAAAGCCCCAATAGTTTCTCATTCTGTTTGGTGCCATGTTCTAAAATAGCTGAGTGTCACCCCTGTCAACCCATAAGCCCCAGTACTTTGTCCAAGCAAAGCAGAATGGCTCCAGATGGAACTGACAGGGTGTTACTACGCATATCCGGTATGGGGTGGATGGCCACAAGCCAAGTAGCCAACACAGAGACAGTGACACTGCAAGAGAGATCCAGTGGTGAAATGTCCAAACCGAGTAAATGTGCAGAGTAAAAAAAGCAAAACTTTCTGTCAATTTTGTAGTTATCCATAACTACCAAGTATTATGAATAATTTATATTCAGGGTTGGGTGTTTCTGCATCATGCTTTATTTTGTGATATATTATATATTCCTCTTTATTGTTATCACTCCTGTGACCACATGCACTTTTTTTTTTCTTTATTTTCTTTTTTCTCGCCCAGTGCACTGTGACCTGTGGAGAGGGACTCAGATACCGTGTGGTCCTTTGCATTGATCACAGGGGGATGCACACAGGAGGCTGTAGTCCTAAAACAAAGCCACATATAAAAGAGGAATGCATTGTACCTACTCCTTGCTACAAACCCAAAGGTAATGTGGCAGAAGGGTTCTCATAAATTCTTCTATGGAAGAGCTTTTCCATACTGAGCAGTCTTGTCTTGTTGCTGGTAGCACTGTTTCCACCTGCACTAAGTTGTGAATTTACACCTTTAAGACTTGACATTCCTATTCCAGTCTGCCTGATAGCAACTTTGAGTGAATGCTGGCCCCTTCCTCTTTCTTACAAGCTCTAGGGATTTTGCTGTTAATTTGTGGTCCAGCAGACCTAAGAATATAAATGCAGATTTGTCTATAGTGTAAGAAGGTTTGACCTCACTGATTGTGTTTGGGCTGAATTTACACTGTATTTTGAAAGGAATTAAATACATAAAATTCATGGTAGATAAATGAAAATATAATTTTAAAGTGCCAGTTCATAACTTGAAGCTTGAAATAGGTCAGAAACAGGCATTGTATATCCCAACACAAAGTTCCTCTTACTAGCAAGGCTGCAAAATCTTAAACAATTAATCACCATCCTGATACATGTTAAGAGCACTGGTGAAGCCGTGTGAAATAAGAGTGACCCATGAACTTATGCTGATCCAAGAGGAAACAGTGAAATTTGGAATTTTAGTTTCTGCACTCAATGGTTAATTGTGGGTGTTCTTGCCAAGTTTCAAGATTCTGGTTTATCTAGACTATGAGAATCCGCTGTGTCTACCAGTCACCAAAGTAGCAAAACCCAGACACAGGGCCTCTGGGGAGCAATGGGTATGTTTACATTGTATTTTGCCACCCTAACATGAGATCAATCCAACCATCTTTCAAGATGAAAAGACAATGTGATTGTGTTAGATGACTTTGAGACTCATATGACAATCCAGGTTTGAATTCAGTCAGTCAGTTGCTTTTGTGGAACTTTTTCTGTTTATGGTGTTCTCATCAAAAGTAAAGCCTGGAGCATAACATGTAAACAAAACACAGTAAGACACTGAAAAATCAGGTTTTGCAAACCACCCACAAGTGACTTCTGCCTAGAGAATCTCAGAAGGGGGAAAGACTGACTAGGAAAGCTTTTCTTGCCTGCATCTATCAAGGAGTCTTTTCCAGTGGGACTGGTCCAGGAAAAAAGTAAATTGCCGGAAGACCACCCTTGCAACAGAGTGTCATCTTTACCCTGAATAAACACTTATGCTGCCCTTCACAGTATATACATGATTAATTTCTGATTGTAGACAGTTATTTCTTTCTTCCAGTTTTTTCCCGTGGGATGGGAAGTCCCTCACAAACCACAGTCTATTGCCTGCATTTGGTTTTGCTCCTCATTTTGGTTCTGCAATGCGCTCACAGTTCTCCCTCTATAACGCAGGTGATAGTGTTTGAAGACCCACATACCCGAAGCCTGAATCATGCTTTCAGAGGAGAGTTAAACCCGAGGATATCCAGAGGTCTCTTTCAATACAAAATATCGTATTTGTATAAGTGGTTGGGCTCAATGATCTTAAAGGTCTTTTCCAACCTAAACAATTCTATGCACTGGAAGTTCGTCCTTTTTATTTCACAAATCTGAATTTAGAGCTTTAGAATAAGGTTACAAAGTACCTCTCCGCTACTGAAAGCTTTGACCTTAGCCTGTTTTTTCGTTCTGTAGCTGCGTTATTACAAAGCAGAAAAAAAATCTTCCTAGCTGGCTGAAGAAGCAACACAAAGAATGTGCAATACCCTCTTTTTTTATCATGCTCTGCTAAACAGAAATAGAATTCAAATGGTTCATGTAATTTACTACATTTTATTTTAGTCAGGTACTGAAGCGCTTCTTCCTACACCAATAATTGGGGTAAAAAAGGGATAACTCTGGATTAAGTAATGATCTTCAGTTTTAACAGAGAAAGTGTATTCATCTGGTATGGCTTTCTGTATAATATAGTATTTAAGTGTTTTTACTGGAACTGTTTTATAAAAGGAGAGATTTTATTTAAATCTCCAAAGGTAAAAATTCCTCCCTAGCTTACATTAGGAGTGCTTTTATTCATTTTTTTGTCAAAGCACACTGTAAAATATCAACATTTCTAGTCCTCTAACAAATTTTACAATGTAGATTATAATTAACTACAACTCTAAAAAAGAAAAGTTATTTAAAACGTCACATAGCACACAATGGTACACAAAACCTTTTCCTTTTTACAAGCACTTGCATCCAAGCAAAAAAACACAGATGCAAGATCTGGCTTTCCAAAAACCCATAAAACAAGCTGCAGAACATATAAATACAAATATCACCTACATATTTTGGATAATAAATGCAGTAAAATATAGATTAAACTAAAAGCTGTGCTGGCAAATATTCATCCGTAAATGACACTAATAAATGTGTTCAGAGTAGGAGCTTGGCCACCTATTTCTAAGAGAGAGGCATAGTAACTCTGTTATTGTCCCTTTTTTCCTCAGTTAATAGCTTACTCCAAGGAAATTTGCTGGCTAATGTTGGAGTAGATGTGAAATCAAGTTGTAAGATGTTGTTCCTCTATGATACCACTGACGGATGAGAAATTTCGTGTGCCTCTGTGAAAGGTTTAGTGTTGTGCACCACAGAGTCGTTCTGAATGACATTAATCTGCTCTATTGGTGCGTACCAATCTGTGCATTACATAAACGCAAGAGGCTTAGGTGATTTGTGAGTGGCAAATAGGTCTGGCCCTGGTTCTCCGCACTGGTCTGAGTGTGTCTCTTGTATTTGTGTCTTTCTCCCCTGATCTCAGCCCAGAGCATTTTGTTGAAATGCAGAGCTCCTTCTCAAATTATAGTGCCAAATTTGCTCTCACATCATACCCCTGTAGACCTAAAACAGCTCCACTGCCTTCAGCTCAAATGCTCCTCTTTGACAGTGGAGTTTGGCTCACGAAGCAGCATGGCCCCGTGCTCCCCAGAGCAGAGCCGCTCTTTATGCTGAGCGCACATCCTGCAGAAGGAGAAAAGCATCTCTACTGTTTTCCATCAGAAATGACAGAAAAAGTACTAAGCTCGTTTTTTCAAATCCACATAGCTGATGAACTGATAAAGTCGAAAAGTATAGCTGGGCCATTTTATTTTATTACAGTTTCTCTGGTTTTCTGTGATATCACTCATCAAATCAGGATTCTCCTCCTTTTTGTTATGTGTCAGAAAAGAAGCTTAATTTGTCTTCTGAAGTTGAAAAATCTACCGGTAAGCATAAGGATTTTATACATTTTGCATCTGCAGTGTCACTGAAGGCCTGCTACACTCGTGAGACTCCCTCCAAATAATACTTTCTGAAGTGCCTACTTTGACAGCCAAGTTGTAGAGTCTGCAAAGCAGCTTAATTTGCCTTTCTGGCTTTAGAACACCATAGCCTTTCTAGCTGCAATAGTGAAATATCTGGTCATATAACCTTGTAAGCCTTATAGTTCAGGTGATGAAGGAGTTTCTTTCACTCTCTCCTGCTCTGCTTTCTGTCTTCTTCGTGCTCAGCCTCCACACGGATGAATTCACAGACACATCATAAGCATGCTTCCTCAGAGAGGAGAGGCTGGTACATGTAGCAGCATTACTGCAAGTTTCCTATTTTCATGCTCTTATGTTTGTTCTGTAGAGAAACTTCCCATGGAAGCAAAGTTGCCGTGGTATAAGCAGGCTCAAGAGCTGGAGGATGGAGCAGTGGTGTCTGAAGAACCATCGTAAGTCTTAAAAATTTACTTACAACAGATTCTTATAATGTGGGGATCTGGGGCTTGTGCTGAACTAACACAGCCTCTTGAAATTGTATTTGGATTTCATTAGAGCATAAAGACTAAACCCAGGCCTGTGGAAATTGATGGGCTTAAGGCTATGTCACACTTGGATATGAAGAGGCAGAGTTCAAGAGGGCAAATGCAGATTTGATTTGAGCAAGTATATATATGTTTTATTTAAGGTCATTTAGAATAATATTATAATGAGAGCCTATCTACCTATGTATCTATATGTTCCCCACTACTACTGTATCTCCACAGCTAAGCACTTTTATTTAATCCCACAATATTCCTATGAAGTAGGAGGTAAAATAATGGTCTGCCGGTGATGATTCCCCCTCGTTTTTCTCCCCACTAAGAGAGTAGTAGTAGCAAATCAAATTAATTAACTTCAGCAGCAAATAAATTAGAAACCTGAGCCCTGTGGTGTGGAACTCTTTATCACTTACCTCATCACTTCAAGGATTTTTCCCCCTTGCTTTTCCAGCCACTTCATGGTCTCTGCCCAGCAACTTTTGAAAGGTATATCTCAGGCAGTACCTTGTACTCCACTAGCAGCTCTTCCTCCTGCCTGCAGACCCTCTTGGATGGCAAGGTGCCCTATGTACATATGCAGAATCACAGAATCACTTTGGTTGGAAGAGACCTTTAAGATCACCGAGTCTAACAATTAACCTAGCACTATCAGGTCACACTTTGACAGTCCCCTTGCATTGGAGCTGCACAAAATAATAGAAACTCTACATTTTCATCCTACATACATAAAATTAGCTCTTTTCCTTAACCATAATTATTATTTTTTTCTTTTCCTATTAATTTTTCTTCTGCGTCATGAAAAAATTACCATTCTGTTAGAAAAAAGTGGAGGGCATAAAATAGTTATAGATAATACTGAAGGAGAATATATTACAGTAAAAAAGCTGGAAAAGAACATTTTGAGTTAGAGCTGATACCCACCTTTTTAATATATCAATAAGAAAATCTGACTACATGAATCTGACCTTCTGTAGCAAGATTTTTCACACAATGCTATTGAAAATACAGTTTAGCATTTTCTGCACATGTCCATTTCATTAATAGCAGGACTGCAGAATAAGTTAGAAAAATTAAGTGGTTTTAAAAAAAGTTCAGAACATCAGTCAAAGTTGAGTTTTATTGTCACTTACGGATAATTAATCTTCCTTAGTCCAATAAAATAGCAATGAAAAGGAAGCTGCAGTAAAACTGGTGTACCATATAAACCTTTAGCAATGAGGCTGAGAAATTAAAAATACTGTTATGTTTATGTTTTGGATTTTTTATTCTGGAACTGTGATAAATGCATGCTATAATTATAACCTCTGTGCACAGCTTTAATTACTACCCAGTTCCTTGGGGATGAGCACATGGCATTTTTTATTGTGACTGCAGCTGTGTGTTAGACTGAAAAACTTTTTTCTTTATCCAATATAATTGCAGTTTTGGCATGGTTAATTTGAATTTAATCCATTTGAAACTGGATGATTGAAATAGAGCTAGAGACATACGTAACAGAGCCTTAAAAAAAATTATTTTAATCCATCTGCCATATGTATACATAAGTACATACATATATACACATTTATACACATGTATACAAACATACATTCATATGTGCATACATATGTTAGTAGAAGCTATCACATGTAGTATAATGAAATGTTTAACTGTTTCCAAAGTTTCATGACCTCTGTAGGCTGATTCATTCAGAGTCAAAGTCTAGAAAATTCCATAGGAGCATATTCAGTTTTAATTTGTAAAGTGACGTTTATTTTCTTGTGACTATACTCAACTACTTAACAAAATGTGCTTTTATCAAACTATAGATAACACCTGGAAGCATACATAAAAAAGATAAAAATTTATCAAAAGGAATCATACTGATATTTGGTTATATCTGGAATAATTTGTGACATTAAAGAATTTTTTTGATAGATTTTGTGAACAGTATTGACAGTACTGTAGAAAAAGAGTATAATAATATATATGTGAGAATATGTGGCTTTATATATTAACAAGAAGGAGACTGTGCAGAATAGGTATAACTTGCAGGGAAAGATAAGGAAGATTTTGTTTATCATGACATGTATTTTTAAGAAAATATTCTGGAAAACTTTATGAGTATATTACTGGTGATATAAAAATAGACCTTGAGAGATATGAAAGGAAAAGTGTTTAAGAACTTTAAAATTATTTAAGTGCAACTATGACATTTCCTTACTTTATAGTTTACTGCTTTGATGCAATAAAGGCCCTGTTCTGCAAAGACATCCTGATCTTTTTGCCCCATCTCATGTGACACTTCAGTGATACCAGTAAGATACTAACATACCCATAGAGTAGAGCACAGTATATCCTGGGTTCATTCTGCCTTGGGGTGGCATCTTGTATTTTTTTTGGTTCCTGCAATGCACAACTCTGGGAACATACATAATAATATTACAGGTTAATCAGAAATGAACATGAAACTAAATTCAAGTATAGGTTTTTAAATGTGTTGACTAATAGTTAAAATAAATTGCAGAAAGTCAGGATCTTTATGCAAACTTTCCCAAAGCTCAGAGACATCCGTGCCTTATGTTTAACTTGGAATGCTATTTAGTGATAAGACATGAGACAGAAAGACCAAATAAAAACTCAGAAAACTTGTACTGAAGGGGCTATCTGTGCATTCCTCATCTGTAAACTGTAACAGCCATCTGCATATTGTTCCAGAATATCTTATCTGTTGACAGCAACCTTGAATGGTGAACTTCCACACAAAATAGATTTTGGTGCCTTATTATTAATAGTGTTTTTCATTAATGTCAACTTTAAACTGTTCCTCATTTTAGGCCCTGATTATTAGATTGAAACAATGTGTGTAATGACATGAAAAAGGAGACAAAACATTCCAAATTCGCCAAGATACAATCAAAAACCAACTTTGATGCCAGTTTTATGGTGTCACTTGTTCTCATTCAGCTATGTAAAAATTCTAAATACACCAAGTTAGCTGAAAAACAAGGTGTAGTACATGATAATGCACCTTGTGCCCTGTCGTTCTGCAGCTACGCAGAGACACGGTGTGAAATTCCATGGCCTAGGGTGCTGACAGATGTCAAGCTATCACCCATACATTTTGATTGATGCACAACCAGTCCAGAAGGTAGGCGGATGCTAATTTTTTAGGGCTCCGATTGTTGACAGTTCTTAGATATTGGATCAAGCATTAGCTGGTATAAGGCAGTGTATGATGTGCTCAGCTCTGTTTCAGACTGTGAATTTGAGTAACTAGAACACGACCATCAATTTCTTACTGTCTTACACCTACATGTGTTTTAGCGTGTTACTTTACTGTAAATATTTCCAGAAAACATACCAAGAGTTCTAAAAGACAAGTATAATGGCTTGCTTCCCCTCCTCTGAAGAAACCATTTCTTTTCTCTGATTCACTAGAACGGAGCTGACAGAGCGGGATTTGAGGGTGGGAGTTGAGCCAAGCAGCCAGGATGGGCTTTCTTGGAGAAGACACTCCTTCTCTTAGCAGGGAGGAAATGATCACGGAATCACAGAATGACAGAATTATTGAGACTGGAAAAGAACCCTGAATCACCAAGTCCAGCCTATGACCCAATGCCACCACATCAGCTAGACCATGGCACTAAGTGCCACATCCAGCCACTCCTTAAACACCTCCAGGGACGGTGACTCCACCACTTCCCTGGGCAGTGCATTGCAGTGCCTGACCACCCTCTCTGTGAGGAAATGCTTCCTGAGATCCAACCTAAACCTTCCCTGACACATTTTCAGGCCATGCCCTCTCGTCCTGTCACTAGTTGCCTGGGAGAAGAGCACGAGCCCCATACGACTATGCCCTCCCTTCAGTAGTTGTGGAGACTGATGAGGTCCCTCCCCAGTCTCCTCTTCTCCAGGCTAAACACCCCC